TAAATCTTTTTTAACCTTTTGAATTTTGATTTGCAGTCTTTTTTAAAAAAAGAGAGGTAAATATTAATGGGGATTTAAATACGGGAAAAATTTTTAAAATTCCTTTTTAAAAAAATGCCCTTTTCCCAAATGTTTTGGGAACTAAATGTATAGGGGAAATTTTTTATTGTAAAAAAGTATTAATTAAATTAACTACAAAGAAAGATAAAGAATTGAAATTTAAATACTTTAAAAAAATTTGAATATTATTTCTGGGTTTTTCCCCAGTTGAAATTATTTCCCCTAAAATTTTCAAAAAAAATTTTAAAGAACTCTGACCCAAAAACCCTTTTTTGCATAAAAAAATAAAGGGTAACGGGCCACATTCTAAAATTTTTTAAAAAAAAAAAATTTCTTATTCCCCAACAAAAAGGGGCATATAAACAATTTGGGAGGTATAAAAATTTTGGGCCCAACCCCCACTCCTTGGGCCCTTTTTCGGGGGCAATTTTAAAAAATCCTTCCTTAAGAATTTTTTTAACTGACAGGAAATTTCCCCGTGTTCGGGTTTTTTAATGTGCTCCCCCCGGGCCCTTTACCCCAAGCTGAAGGTGCCCTTTCCGGGATTTTTTTTCTGAGCACAACATTTTTTTCTCCTTGCTATTAATGTTTGGCCTCGAGTTTCCCAAATCACAAAATTTTGGCCCATCACTCTTTTGATGATTTTGGGCTTTTGCCTGTGCAGGCGCTGACTGTCACCCTTTAAACATTTTCCCCTTTTCCGCATGGGGGTCGACAGTGTTTCCCAAATTTGGGCCACCACACAGGGGGTTTAAAAATTTTCCCCGCACAAAAAACCCACCAAATTACTTTCACTAAAACGCTCTGTCATCCCCCGATCATCCTTTTTGTACCTCTATGGCTCCCGTATCCCTGAACGTGATAGCAATTTTTGGGGCCTCCTTTTTTGCCCGAGGTTATCCTGGAAACCTACATTACCTCTCTGAAGGCAACTTTTTGACACCGGCTAAACCCTTTTAAAACCCGTGCTCATCTTTCAGGGGGCCCTGATCGTAAAAAAAACCCTTTCCTTCACCTACTTTCCCCCCCTAAATTTTATCAAAAACTTGATTATGGTGCCCAAATTTCTTTCGGGGGCTTCTCCTGCTACTCTCTCTACCCTTTAACCCCCATTCATCACCAAGGATTACTTTTATGCCTTTTTTGCTTTTCGCTTTTCCCCTTTTTTAAAGGGGCCTCTGTGCAGAAGCAAATTTTTCCATCCTTTTTCCGATCCCCGTATCCCCCATTGCCTTCGCTATATTACCCCCTTCACATCTCCGCAATCCTTTTCCCTTTTTTAGAAAGGTCACTGATATTATAGGGCATTCTTTATTTGTTCGCCGCCCCGTTTTTCTCCGTCCCTTCTTCTTTTTTCCCTTTTGGGTCTTGTCCCTTTTCTTCAAATTTCCCCCCTTTCTATGTTCCGTAGCCCTCTCACTTTTCCCTACCCCCCCGGGGAATTCCAGCTGCTCGAGTCTTTTCTTTCTCTCCCCCGTTGCTCGAAAGCCCCAACTGTCTACGATTTTTTTGCTTCCTGCTCTCTTTTTCTTGGGCCCCCTTCCACTCTTTATTCTCATTTCCTTTTCTGTTTTAAAACAGATGGCTCTAATCTTCTGACGGGTAGGATTCACAGCAGTGTTTCCGGGCAAAATCGACGAGGCATTTACTATCTTGGGCTAGTTTTTTTTTACTGCTGAATTGTATGCCATCCTTGCAGCCACCAAACCGTATTTTCATCTATGCCTGTGTCATCATTTGGGTTGTCTCGACTCCCTTTGGCTTTACAGGCTAAAAAGAAAAAATTTTATAAAACCTATCCTTAGGGGCCCTTTCCCTATCCAACTTTGGGGTACGCCGCATCTTTTCCCCAAACATAGATATTGTTTTTTGGGTTTTTTGGGGCCCTGGTCTTTCGAGTACAGGGAATGAAAAGGGAGACACTGCTGCGCGATCAGCAGTACAGGGCCTACCAAATTTCATATAGAGATAGTTTTCCCTTTATGGACTATTTTTCTGCAAATCTTCACACCCGTTTGGGAACAAAGTTGGTCTATTATGCCGGCAACAAACCCTTTAATCTATTAAAACGGGGTTTTAGGGGAAATGGCCGTCTTCTTTTCAAACCCGTGTCGAAAGGGTTTGGGGGAAAAAATCTCTCCCTTTTTTCGCATTGGCCCCTATCGTCTTTCTCATGGATAAACCATGGAGAAAGGGGCCCTGTCCTTTCCCGTGAGAATTTCCAAGCTCCTTATCAGTCAACCCCCATTTTTTTTGGACTTTCCCCCTTTATCAACGAGCACCCCAGAATTTACCTCCCTCCCTCGTCTACGTTTCCCTTTTCCCTCTTTACCCTTTCCCTTTTTCGCTGATGGGCCCCCCTTTTATCCGGGCTCTCTCATTGACTTTTTTTTACAACAACTGGGCTTTTCATCACCCAAATTTTTGTACCTTTCACCCTTTCTACTTTTCTCTTTCTACCCTCCCACCCCCCCTACAAACCCCTGCCCCCCTGTTTTCTGTAACCCACTGATCATCCCTCCTCCTTTTGCCCCCCCAATACCCTCGCTTCCCTTTCCCCACTCCCGCGCGCTGTATAGCCCTTTTGGCTTAGCGCTTTTTTTTGTTTTAATAATAATATAGTAATTTGCCCAAAAATTTTTCAGGGTTTGGGGGTTTTTTAAAAGTAATACACCTTGCATTTCCCAATATTTTTTTTGAACTTTGTTTTGCACCCTTTTTTTATTTAACTTAGTTGGGTTTAAAAATTTTTTCAATAGTGATGATATAAACTTTTTTCCCCCTAAAGGGGGGGGGTTAATGAAAATTGAAAAAAAAAAAAAAAGTGGGACTAAAATGTTATCCCTTTTTTCCCCCTGGATTTAAATTTAAATTTTTATTTTCCTCCCGGCAGTGCAACATGTTACATCATTTTTCGTATAAAATTTTTTTAGTAAGTACATAAAAATTTTTTGCAAGACATTTTTTGAAAGGGGATTTTAAAAAAGGAGACCTGGGGGGTATATTTAAAACTGCCCGGGGAGGAATGGTGGGGGTTGGGGGCATCCCCAAAAAAGCAGAGGTAGGGTTAAAGGTTTTTGTGGAGGCATGTTAAAAATAGGAATAGTAGAGGCAAATGGTTTTTTTGGGACTTTTAAGAGGGTGTTCAAGGGTTTAAACAAGTTTTTTGATTTCGTGAAAAGGATTCAGGGGGAACCCAAAACCAAATTAGTTCTGGGGGGTTGGGGTTTTGCAGTGCCTGCCAAACCCAAAAGAGGGGGGTGGGATATTTGCTGTTTGGGGGGACATCCCGAACTCTTTTCTATGCTTTTTTCATAAGCCTGTGTGAACGATGGTTTAACTCCCTAAGACTGTGTGAATGAAAGTGGGTAAGAGTTTCTTTTTTGGGGTTCCACCCTATTCAGTAGGGGGACAGTTCTAAAATCAAAATATCGTGTTACAATATTCTGTAGAAGAAAGTTTATTTTGTAAATATTTCTCTGCAGTGAAATACATTTTCTAAATTGTGATATGCTAAGGAAGACAAGTTTTAAAGTTGTAAATGTTTCGATACAATTATGAAAATTTAAGGGCGCACTAGGGAAATTTCCGCGCGCGCTCGACCAAAAAATCGATAAATTATGGAAATTGAGTTATATATACCGAGAAATAGCTTAACTCTTTGGCAACACAATGGTACCAGAATGAATGTTCTACGACGTTTCTACAAGAAATTACAGTCATTTATATGAGGTAAGGTGACGGTGATATTGGTAGCGAGTTGCTCACAGCCCATATTGTTTTGGAAATTTTCCTTGTTTTTTATCGCTTTTTTTTGCATTATACTTTCTAATATAATAACTGACTACTTGGCAATCATAAAACCTAAAGGGCCGGAGCTTACCCCTAATTGAGCAACAGTCATTAATCATATCATAATGCGCGGAAGTGTTGCCGCGCCAGGAGAAATTACTTCATTATTACGCTTATATCAGCTTATATATCAACTCTACACTTATTTATCTATCAGAATTTTGACCCTAAATGATATAATAAACACTCTAAATAACATACAAACATGTTATATACTCTAGACTGAAAAAAAATAGGCCATAATAGGCGAAAGATTATCAGGAATATTTCGATAAATAGAGTTACTGCTCTCCATGTCTTCTCCTTTGTCGTATTCTTTGGTCTCTGAGTAAGAGAAAACGGTGTTTTGAAGAGGATAACTGCACTAAAAACATCAGTTTACTAAGAAATACACCCAAACAAACGCGATTTTCGCGAAAGAAAAAATTTTTTTTGAGACGGTGGGCGGCTGGCGTTCTAGGCCTATATCTCGGAAGTAACTTATTCACCTTAAATTCCTATTTCTGCATTTATTACTTTAATTAAATGGAATAATATTCACAGAAATTGTAGAATAATGATTTCTCTAATTGTGTGTAACGTAATTTGGAAATATTCCAAATACTTTCGGAGTTATGTTGTAAGTAAAGGGCAGATTTTTTGCAGTATTCCAGGAACTAAAAAAATTTTTTTTTTTTTTAAATAAAGATACGTTATTTAGAAAAAAGGCGTTGCCTAAACTTCGTATAAGCATTGCTCTCTCGGCACCAAGTGTCCAAACAACCTTACGATGTCCCATATAGGGAATAAATACTCCCCAAAGGGCATTTTTCAGCAAATCAGCCTTTTTCAGTCTTTTCTCAGTTGTCGTTTGAGGTATATTTTTGATAAATATTTTCAAGAAAGAGTGAAAACACTTTGTCTTGTGTACCAAAACTGGAGGAAATCGGACGGTAAACAAAAAAGCTACATTTTTGGGCCCGAGTACCCCCCTTAATGACTAAAACATGCCTCGAGTTTGTAAATGTTGATCCTGCATGGTACTGAATTTTATTGTGTGATTCTGTTTAAATGATGTTTTCTTGTTCTTGATCAGTACATATTTTCAGGTTGTCTACACTAGTTAAGGGAGAATTCCATAACTGAGCAGTTCCTTCAAGTAGGTAACTAAGAATTTATATTTTTCAGTTATTTGAGTTCCTTAGAACTGTAAGTCTTTAACTCTGGCTCAATCTGCATTTGGTATCAAAAATAGGAGTCACCAGACTAATGGTATTTGTTTTTCTATAAAGAAAGAATTATCCCCAAATGTAGACTATTTTCTTCATATTTTAGTAATTATTGTAACTATAGTATTAGCAAACATTTTTACTTTTATTGGTTTTGTGGTTTTTCATAAAGTAATATACCTTGCATTTCCTAATATTTTCTTTTGAACTTTGTTTTGCACTTTTTGTATTTAGACTTAGTTGTTAAATTTTCTTCAATAGTGATGATATTATCTTTTTTCCCCATCTTAGTTTGCTTGAGGATAATGAAGAATCTGAAAAAAATAAAAAAATGTGTACTATATGTTATCCATTTTTTCTACTGGATAATTAAGTTTTTATTTTCCTCCAGGCAGTGCAACATGTTACATCATTGGCGTATAATTATTAGTAAGTACATATAAATTTTAGTAAGACATTTTAGAAAGGATGGATTAAAATAGGATGACCTGGGTGGTATATATAAATCTGCAGGTGAGGTAGGGGTCATCCTAGGAAAGTATAGAGGGAGGGGGTAAAGGTTTTGTGTGAGAGCATGTTAGATAGGAGTAGAGGCAAATGGTTTTTTGGGACTTGAAGAGCTGTTGAAGTGTGAGCAAGTTAAGATTTCGTTAAGGGATTCAGGGGAACCAGTTGGCCAGACTTGAGTTCTGGAGGTGGGATGCGCAGTGCCTGCAACCTAAAGGAGGGGTGTGGATATTTGCTGTTTGGAGGGACATCTGAACTCTTATCTATGCGCCTCTCATAAGACTGTGTGAACGATGGTGAAAGGGTTTCTTTTTTGGTTCACCCTACTTCAGTAGCTGCAGTTCAAAAATCACAATATGTGTTACAATATTCTGTAGAAGAAAGTTTTTTTGAAATATTTCTCTGCAGTGAAATACATTTTCTAAAGGGTATAGCTAAGGAAGAAATTTTAAAGTTTAAATTTTCGATACAATGATGAAAATTTTAACAAAAACACCCTTTTTGGGAAAATGTTGATCCTGCATGGTACTAAATTTTTATTGTGGATTTTGTTTAAATGATGTTTTCCTGTTCTGATCAGTACATATTTTCGGTTTCTACACTATTAAAAGGGGAAATTTCCATAACACAGTTCCTTAAAGTAAAACTAAAAATTTTAATTTTTCAGTTATTTGAGTTCTGAGAACTGAAAAGTCTTTAACTCTGGCTCAACTGCCTTTGGTATAAAAAAATGGAGTCACCAATAAGGGTATTTGTTTTTCATAAAGAAAAAATTACCCCAAATGTAACTATTTTTTTTCATATTTTATGATTATTGTAACTTTAGATTAGCTTTTGGCCAAACCAGCAAAAATATTCAGATCTATCGCCAAATGCGCGTCTGTGGTGCCAAACCCATTCTAATCCTTTCCAATCACCTCCCTTTTTCCCTTTAATAGTCATGAGGCTCACCCTTCGTACTTCCCGTTGCAAGTCTATTTAAAACAGGGGAAAAATCAGTTCCCTGAAAGAGGCAATGGGTCTTCCTTATCCCATGACATTTCTCATTCCGCCTCCCCGGGAGACTACCCTTTTGTTTCTTTTTTCCCCCTGTTTAAAAAAGTCCCCACATTTGGGTCCCCTCTCAACCCCTCTGGGTTACTCGCCCCCTAGTATTCCTGTATCTAATTTTTTTTGCTGTCCCAGCTCAGAATCCCCACTTAACGCCTTCATCTCGCTTCTTCGGTTCTCTCTCACAGGCCCCAAACCAAAGAGATCTCATTGAACCTCCCCAACGTCCCCCTTTCTTCTCAAAAGTCAAAAAAAAAGGGCCTTAACCCTCCTACCCCTCTCCAACTCCCATTTTTCCCTTTCCATGTCCTGTACCTGGTTCTCCCCCCCCCACTGGTCTTTACAAGTGAAGGGGTTTTACCCTCCTCCCGACTGTACCTTCCCCCCTGTTCCCTCCCAATTTTTTCTTCCTTTTCTGCACCCCCCAAGTTTCTGCCTCTTCTGTCCTCCCCAAACGCTTCTCCAGCCCCTCCCCCCTTTTGCCCCCCCCCCTCCCTTTGGTTCAGTCCAATGCATTCCCAATCTTTACTATCCTTCTCCAGCCCAATTTTTTACTCATCCTTCCCCTACCTTTTCCCAAATATTGTGTCCCATACGACGTCTCTGAATTCCGAAACCTTGAAGCAATCTCGAATTATTGCAGACCCCCAAACCCCCCCAATGGACACTGCCCCCCCTCCGTTCCTTCTCTCTCCTTTTGCTCCACTGCGCAACTCCTTTCTTCACAGCACACCGTTCCTTCGCTGCTTGAACGTTTTCCGCTCCCCCTCCGCATGTGGATTTTTCTAACCCCTCTGCCCGTAGAACCTTACCTGGGGATTTCATTTATTTTTATCATGCCAATCATGGCCTTTTACAGGGGAATATACGCAGCCCGGGGTAATCGGGGTGAGTTTCAGATTTACTCTCCCATTTTCCCCTTTAGTGTTTGCTTATGGAACCAAATTACACTCTGCTGTTATCTCTCCCATCTCAGGCTAAATTTATTGTATTCTTCAATCCTTTTTTGAGGGAACCTTTAATAAAGTGCCCTTCCCTTCTACGCACTGAATTCCGTCCATCAGCTATTTGTTCGTACCCGCTCGTTTCACGCAGCCCGTATCCACTTGCATAGGTGGTATACCTTGTTTTTTTAAAATTTTCTCCTCGGGGATTACCATTCTGGGTATTGCCTTTCTTTTTTCGTCATATCGCCACCCATTTGTTTTTCTTGGCGATTTTAATGCCCCCCACTTCCTCTGGGGGGTCTCACTGGATTCCCGTGGGATTTATTAAGGTTTTCTTTCCACCCACCCCCTCCATGTTTTTAAAAAAGGGACTCGCCCCATTTTGATCCTCGGGCTCACACTCTGTTTGCATTATCCTCAGTTGCTCTTCCTCCCCCCGCATTTGACTTCGCTTGGGCTGTTCTCCCGGGCTTTCATGACAGCGATCATATCCCCAATCATTTTCTTCCTTCATATTCACCCCCTCTTTGCATCCCCCGCGGGAATTTGATCAGGCAAATTGGACCATACTCACACCTAACTGTTTTTTTGTGAGGTTCCTTCTTGTCCCCACGATGAGCTTTTTCACCTCTTCTCGTCCTCCGTTTTAACCGCACTTCTAATTGTATACCCCAAACTTCGGGCAGGCATTCTCAAAATGGTGCCCTTTTGGCTTCTGCTTTTTGCTCGTGCATAGTTTGAAAGCCTGCATGGGGGAGGTAGCGGTAAATAGAAACCAGAGACTTCTTGATTTTAAGCAAAGCTGCGATCGCTTGCCGTGTCATCATGACGCTAAACGCACTTGCTTGCGAGGTTGCTTCACCATCACCTCTGCTTCCCCTGAGTGCAGTCGGAAAAAATACAAAAAAACGAGTGGAAAATTTTTCTCCTACCCGGCCCTTTTCTGCGGGTTCCCGGTTTGATATAGCAAACCCCAGAGTTGCCAATAAAATTTGGGCAATCATCTGGTCTGTATTTCCCAGGACTCCATCCAGCCCCTCGTTTCTTTCCCGAAAAAATCTGCCAGAGAGTTGCACCCTTGGGCTTTTTTTCTCTCAGAGAAGAACAGTATAATGTGCCTTTTAAAACTTTAAAACTGGAGGCAACACATCCTTGTTATCATGGGCCGGGGCCCGCGACATTTAATTCGTAGCTACAAAAATTTACATTTAGTCCCCTTGCAGTCCTCTTTCGCCTTTACAATCTTACTTGGTCACAAGGAGCTCTTCCACAGCTGTGGAAAATTTGGGATTGTTTCCCTTTCCGCAAAAAAAAAGGGACTACGGGACATGAAGCCTCCCCCATCGTCCCCTTTCTCTTTCCTTTCAGTTTTCAAATGATGGAACGCCTGTTAAATAGACGTTTAGTGGGTATTTTAAGGAACAACATCTTCCACTCGTCAATAGGCTTTCGTAAGGGGTTCTACCAAACCCCTTATTACGTTGGATACGTATGTTGAAATGCCTTTTAGAAAAACCACTCAGTTATTGCCATTTTTTTTGACCTTGAGAATGTTATACTTTAAAATTTGGGGTCTTCCTGTGTATTTAAATATTGTAAGAGCATGTGTTCATCATTAATATTATAGCCGAAAGTCCCCGTTCATAGCTAAAATAGAGCTTTCGGCTTTATATTATTACTGTTAATATAAAAAAATACCATGGTATTATCCTATTATTGTTATTATCACTTTTTATCTATTATCACTTTTGAATTACACTATTATTTTACTATTATGGTTAGGTGGGGTTTTTGTTATTATTGATTTTGTCTGGGAACCATCCGTGAATTGTTAAATTGTTTTCCGCTGGCTGACGGGGCTCAGCTGATCCAACCTGACAACACGTCAACAACGGGAAAAATACCCGCTCCCTGCTCAACCCGACAACTGACGTAATTGGCTCTTAGGGGTTACATTGAATGGTTTTGAAAATTTGGACTATAGAGCTGACCAATTTTTTCCCCATGCTTTGAAAGACTCTTTTTAATTTTTTTTTTTGGGCAGTTCATAATCCATAAGATATATACGGCCAATTCAAAAGGGCTGTTAAAATCGTACCTTTTGTATTTTGGTTTGAGTCTGTTTAAAAAAGAATGAATATTTAAAGGGACTTAGAACAGGAAGAATAACAAAATTCCTTTTAATAGACATTTCCATGATTTGGAACTAAATGTATATGGTAATTTTATTGTACTAATTATTAAGTTAAATTAACTACAAAGAGAAGATAAAAGTATTGTATTTAAATAGTTTTAATAAATTTGAATAATATTCTATGGAGTTTCCCAGTTGAAATTATTTTCCCCTAGACTCCCCCAAAAAAAACCCTTTAAAGAAATTTTTATCCAAAAAACTTGTTGCATAAGAAATAAATGGTAACAGGCCACATTCTGAAGTTCTTTAAAAAAAAATTCTTATTCGCAACAAGAAGGCATATGACACAACTTGGAGGTATAATATTTTAGCCCAAGCCCACTCCTTAGGCATTCGAGGCAATCTACCATCCTTCCTTTAACCCCCTTTTAGGGGTTTTCCCGTAGATCTACGGCTGGTCGGTAGTGCCAACCGTAGATCTCGCCAAAATTCTGCCCGTCAAATTTAGCGCGAAAGCGCTCATGGCCTAATAGAGAGAAGGGTCTCGCGGTGGGTGTGCCCATAAAAAAAAAATCTAGGGGCCTGCATAGCATTGTGGGGAAAGCCCGGGCCGTCACCCCCTTTTTCACCCTTTTCGTCGCAAGTCACTCTGCTCCCCGGAAAATTGGGGCTCTCCTCTTTCCCCGATAGTTTTTGAACGAGGGAAATGAAAGAAACGAATTCACGGCTTTTTGGGATGAG